TTTTGTTTTACTCATCTGCAGCTTTTTCATGGGCAGCTTGTAACGGCACAAAGAGAGTGTGGGAACGTCATAACAAGCACCCTCTTTTCCACTTAACACCTTTATTGGAAAAGCATTTTCACAATATAAGCATGTGTAAGTTACAAAGTTAAACCAGTGTACTTTATTAAAGTAGCCCATTATTATAGCTTATATTGTTCTGGGTTTGCCAGTACTATTTGAGACAAGTGTTTAATATTTAAGGCTTTGTTATAGTTTTAAAGACTGCAGTCAGTGGTGCTGTTGCATTGTACTAAATCACAGTGAGAGGTGTTTGTGATATTGATGGGTATATTTTTTTATTTTGTTGATTAGGGTTCAGGGAACAGTGGTGCTCCTGATTTATTAAACTGTTTCATTCAGTCACTTCCTTTCAATCAGCTTTGAAGTTGATGGTCGTTACAGTGATTGCTATTCATCACATCAAATCTATCATTGCTTGTGTTACACGCAAACTAACACACATTGTTACTCAAATAGACTGAGTTAAAATTGCAGCTTATTACTCATAAATGCCTTGTAGTCATTAGTTGATTTTGGTGAATGGGAGGGGGCACAGAGAGATATTAGTGAAGGGCGAAGCTGTTGTCCACATACAGTAATTAGGAATGTGGCCTCCCTGTGCACACACACATGAAAGGAGTAAAAAGTTTGTGAGACATATTCTCTGAAGCCCTGTTCAAGTCCAGGCCGAACGCTCTCTGCTTTTAAGTGATTATGCAGAACATTGCCTTTGGATTCGTGCGTGTTGTGTGTTTCTGTGGGCTCTGCTATATTTTTGGCTTTAGCAAATTAGAGCTGTGAACAACTGTGCTGTAGAAAGAAAGGTAGATGATGTGGAAATGAGGGAAAGTGCCCCTCTAGCAGGATGTGTTTAATGCCAAGGCTGACCTTCACGTAGACATATTAAATAACAACGCTTTAACTGTCAGTGTTGTGTTTCTGTGGGTGCACTATGGAAAAAAGACAATTTGACAAAACACTGCTCAAAACACATCTGTTTAAACTGGCTTATTTGCTTTAATGCTGATTTTTATCTGTTGTCACGCTCTGTTTTGTAATTTTAACTTATTTTATGTATTTTAAGTACTACTGTTCTTTTTATTAATTGTTTTTTTTGTAAGGTGACCTTGGGTTTCTGAAAGGCGCCCTCAAATAAAATGTATTATTATTATTATTATTCACTGCGCACAAAAGAACAGCTTAAAAATGATGAAAACGGGATGCTTCATTATTTAGTTTTGTTTTTATTTATTCCATGTTGCATGTTCATTCTCATTCCTTGTGCAGTTTTCCTGATTGTGATCAAGATTTTCCGATTTTCTAACAGGTTTGCTATAGATTGCGTATGGTGTATATATGGTACTGCTTCCTAAAGCCTTGAACATACTGGAAGTGAATTGTGGTGATGTTGCAACCAAAGTTTATAGAAAGTGAATAATATTTGCCGACTTCAAGTGACTACAGGCGAAATAATTGCTGCCAATGCAAAGTGGGCAGGACCTGCAGTAAACTTTAAGGCGAGCAACTGAAGAAACTCCTAAAATAAAGAATACTGTTGGTTGACCTGCTAGTAAAGACATTAGAGGGTCACCTAGGCAACCAGAGCCAAGAATATCACAAGTGGCAGATTCAAAGTGATGCGTGGCAAACAAATCACTTCCAGTGTGTACACGGCTTAGATGTCAGCATTGTACCCTCGATGCTTGAGTTCTCAATCACCTGAAAATGCTTTCGTGTGTCATTTTGGTCGGGGCGTTGCTGGGCAACCTTAGCTGTATACGCCACACAACATCTTCTATATCCTCTTGTCCTTGTCTCGTGTGGAGACAGATGCTTTGTTTTATATTAGTGTAGATTTTCTCATAATTCTTCATTTCCCGAAGGAAAATTTACACCTCCTCCATGACATCCTCTCATAAGGCGCAAATCCTTGTACTGTAGTGGAAAATGTTGTATTTGATGAAAGTCGGGCAACATACCGATTGAGCGGTCACGTCCAGCCCCATCACTCATAATAGCGTGTTTGTGTATGAATTTGTCATCTAATATCGTCTCCATTTTTGTGCTTTTGGTGTACTAGCAGAAGAGAGTACTTCCTCTGACCCTCACCTCAGCAATCATAAGATAAGATAACCTTTATTAGTCCCACACGTGGGAAATTTGTTCAATCAAAATTTAGCCTGTATAAAGCTCGGCAGCTAGAGCGTAAATATAAGAAATCTGGTTTAACTGTTGACTCAGAAATCTATAAATCCCACGTACTTCAGTATAAAGACTCCATCAGCAAGGCCAAACAAAGCTTCTACTCTGGTATTACCAGTTCTTATGAGGGTACAAGGACTCAACAAACTAATTCAACCCCCCAACGCTTTACCACCGCACTTCTATTCCTCTGAAACCTGCAACTCCTTGATGCTGTTCTGGACTACGAAAATAACATCCACCAGCAACTCAGATCAAATGTGTCTACGCCCTCTCCAGAACCTTTTCTCCTTTTTGAGCCATTTTCCACTTTTCATCTTCCTGATTTATCTGATATTTCCGAGTTCATATGTAAATCAAAGCCTGCCACATGTCATCTTGACCCCATGCCCACGGGGCTTGTGAAATTCTGCCTCTCTTCTTTACTCCCACTCATCTCTGCTATCATTCACTCTTCTCTCACCACCGGTATCGTTCCTTCCATATTCAAGACTGCTCTAGTCACTCCTATACTGAAAAAACCTTCTTTAGATCCTAACAACTTTAACAACCTCCGTCCAATTTCCAATTTACCCTTCATTTCTAAGATACTCGAAAAAGTGGTTGCAGCTCAACTTCATTTACACCTTAATAATAATAATAATAATAATAATATCTACGAGAGATTTCAATCTGGTTTTCGCTCATGTCACAGTACAGAAACTGCTTTACTTAAAGTCACTAACGATCTTCTAATCGGAGCTGACTCTGGTCTTCTCACCATTCTCGTCCTTTTAGATCTGAGTTCAGCCTTCGACATCATTTCTCACTCTGTACTTCAAAGCAGACTTTCCTCTCCCGGCATCTCTGACACACCCCTCGCCTGGTTTCAATCATATCTCCTCGACCGTTCCCAGTTTATCCAACTAAGATCATTCCGCTCTCGTCTATTCCCCGTCACCTCTGGTGTACCTCAAGGCTCAGTTTTAGACCCTCTTCTCTTCATAATATACATCCTCCCTCTAGGTACCATTTTCCGCAAATTTGATCTTCAGTTTCACTGTTTTGCTGATGACACCCAGTTATATCTCTCTTGCAAACCTGATTCCTCCCTCCCACCTTCCTCCCTTTCAGAATGTCTATCCGAGTTAAAATCCTGGTTTACCTCTAATTTTCTAAAGCTCAATGAGATCCTCCTTACTGGGAGGATCTCAGTTATTGGGACCAAATCCAACCTTTTGAAGGCGAACCATTTCTCACTCACCATCGATAACTCCACAGTTTTCCCTTCTCCTCAGGTTAAGAGCCTTGGTGTCATCCTAGACAGTTCACTTTCCTATAAATCTCACATCAATAATCTCACCCGTTTTGCCTACTTCCATCTATGTAACATTAACAGATTGCTTCCTTCTCTTTCCACCCAGTCTACGTCCAGTCTTGTTACCTCCCGTATTGACTACTGCAATTCTCTTCTGCATGGTCTCCCCCCAAAATCCCTCCATAAGCTTCAACTGGTTCAGAACTCTGCTGCTCGCATTATCACCAGAACCCCCTCCTACCAGCACATCACCCCTATTCTTCAGGAACTTCACTGGCTCCCTGTGAAATTCCGGATAATATTCAAACTTCTTCTGCTCACCTTCAAGGCCATTCATAACCTCACTCTTCCTTACTTTCCTGACCTGTTAACCACTACCTGTTCTGCCCGTTCACTTTGATCTTCTTCTTCTATCCAGCTTGCTGTACCTTCCTTCCGCCTCACCACCATGGGAAGCAGAGCTTTCAGCTGCTCTGCTCCCAGGCTGTGAAACTCTCTGCCCCAGAAATAAGAAACATTGGTTCTCTCTCCCAGTTTTAATCCCAACTCAAAACTCATCCGTTCAAATCTGCATATTCACTGTGAACCCACTGTTTGTTAATTTTATCTTGTGCTTTCGTTTTATTGTTCTTATTCTGCCATTGTTTTACTACGTGTTTTATCCTGTTGTAAAGTGTCCTTGGGTGACTTGAAAGGCGCTCATGAATAAAATTTATTATTATTATTATTATTATTATAATGTTTGATACCGAGCTATTTTTTTTATTTTAAACATAGTGTTTGAATAAAAACAGGAACTGATAGAAGTTCAGCAGCACAATATTTTATCATTTAGACGCACCAAACTGCAAACAATAATAGTATTTTACCAAAAGCAATATAGATGCTGTTAAACCATATCCATCTGAAAAGCCAAAGGAAAGCACACAAGCAGAAATGTATTATTAATTCCACTGCTTATTCCCTAGCGCAGTGAATGTGGCACCTGTTGTATTCCACCTTGTGTAAGCAAAGGTGTTTTACAGTTACACTGGTTCGTGCTCATAAAAGCAGCCGTGGAACATGTTTAGGTGCACGTGCAAAATGACAACATGTCACAGACTTGCTCCAAATAGGAAGATAAGGTGCACAGATGTGTAGTGACATTGTCATAACTGTGCATATCATAAGAGGGCAAACCAAGCAGAAACCTTTATAGATTCATATTGAAATACATAATAATTGACAACTCAGAGGGAAACATTAGGCTCATGAAAAATCTAATCGCAGCTCGTTATCATTCTATAGATATAAATTTAATTGCTAAATTGATGCCTTTGGTATGAAATAAATTCCCTTTTAAATTAGACCCTTCGGTGTGCAGCCAAATGTCTCTACTTCAGTGATATTTTTATAGTCTGAGGTCTCTGTATCATCATTAATAAATCTTAAGTCATCACTTGTCTCTGTCTTTGCTTAGGTGTTCACCAGATATGGGAAGTGCTATATGTTCAACGCAGCAGAGGAGGGGAAGACGCTGCGCACCACCATGAAGGGAGGGACTGGAAATGGCCTGGAGATCATGCTCGACATCCAGCAAGATGAGTACCTGCCTGTATGGGGCGACACAGGTAGGCCTGGAAACATGCTCACCATGATGTTCAAAAATAAGTTCATTACTGATTGATTTCCCTTTCAGTACCAGGTTAAAAACAAGGCCACTATAGTTAAACGAGGCGATTTCAAATGAAGGATTCATTTTGTTCTCCGCTTTTTTCTTCACTTGTAGCTTTTTGCTTGATTATATGATCCATGCAACAGCAATATTTAGTTACTTTGACTGATTTGTACCTCTTTCCTTGATGTGATTGCATCCAGGATGCCGTATGAACTCACTCACAACACTTGCACTTTAGATTCATCCACCTATGAGTCAGTCATTCCTGGTTTTGGTAAAAGCTTGTTTTCGTGTTTTTGTTTTTAATACCTCAAAAACGGTGTTGTTCTAAGCTTCAGCGTTAGCATGCAATATTTGATAAAATGCATTTTACACAGCTTACAAAAGATTATTCTATTCCACTCAAACAAGTTGATTTCTTGAGAGTCCACTTGTTTCAGTCAACTCTCAAAGTTATTTATTTATTTCCATCGTTTATTTATTTGTCTGTCTGTGTTATGGGAATATTTTAACTGATCTCTTTTAAAGTGAATTTCAGATGGTAAAAGTCATTGCAATGTTTAAAAAGCTATTTCCCAAGTTGTAGCCCAAACTGATCCTTTGGGCTGATTTTTTTTATTCACTTTATTTACTTTAGACATAATAAATAAAAAAGCAATTTGTGGTTTTTTTTGTTTCTCCTGATGAAATCTCTTTAGGGACAGATTCATACCGAGAAATTCCAAATCAAAGTTCTAGAAAACTGAATGTGAAATTTTAAAATGCATGAGATGACAGTCATCAGTTTTTTTAATCCAAACAACTATAAATCTCTTCTTGTTTATACTTGTAAATCAGATAAAAAATGTTATTACCATTCCTGTCTTTTTAAAAAGTAAAAAGTATTGCATTGTATTGAGCTCAATACCCAAGGATTTAATTGAATAGAAGACTTATTTGTATAGCTTTTCTAGCCCACATCAAGCACTTTTTGTTGCATGACTGCTGTTGTATTCTCTTTGAGTAAGGCTCTAAACAAATTTCTCAGGATATTTTCATTTGATGCATCTTCATTTATGCCCAACTGTGGGCATATTTTTCCTTTGAGAATGTAGACGTCTTACTGATCATAATACATATTCAAACTCTTTTCAACTCAAACACTGAAACCTCTCTAATTTATTTTGCAAAATAGTGGAGCTTGAAATTATCCTATTTAGTGAGATACATGTAAATATCTTATTTTTGATGCAGGGTGACTGTTTAAGGGAGGCTTGTTTTGTAAGCAGTGCCATATTGTAGCACATTGAATGACCAGCTCACGGCTAAAACAAGTGGGAGGGTAGACAGGGGAGTTCACAGCAGCTAGCCAAGCAATGCAATGCACAAAAAACTATCATCAGAAACTCCACGTTCTCTTACTCCTTATCTCTTTCTCTTTACACTGGGTTTTATAGGATTCCACCCAAACCTCCTTTAGGATTTAATTCAGTTTGAACATGCTGTACTTCTGCCACCACCCTGACAGCATGTGGAACTCCTTCTCCCAGCAGGCTCCAGTTTTCAGTGCCCTTGTTTATCCCCTTGTGGTTTAATTAGCCTGGATGCACTGAGTCAGCCTCAGCATGGAGCATGCTGCTTCCTCAACTGAGCCAGGTCTCTGTGGTGTCCAGACATGATGGCAACATGCTGCACAGGCCCTAATTCCACATCTCCTCCCACCAGTTATCTTTTTCTCCATCCAGACAACCCACCTTCTTTCCTCCCATGGCTTCCCCTACTGTCCATCATCCAGAAGTGCAGCAGTTGGGTCTCTGGGGTTCTATTAGCACACTACAGTATCCAGGATGCTGCAGGGCAATCATGATACTCCTCACTTTATCATGACGGACAAACATCGCAAGAAATGTGTTTCATTCTGTGAAAAATGAACAAGACAGATATAACTTTGAGAGGTGGGAGAAAACAGATGGCCTGTTGCCTGGAAACGCAGCTTTCTTCTCGCCATGTTACTGACCAAACTGCTCAGTGAAGGAAATCGTAAATGGACAGGATCTGTCTGTTTTTCCTATCCATACTGCTGCCTGCAAAATGTGTCCTCAGCCAGACTTTAAATAGTTAAATTCTCACCAGGAAATTAATTAGAGTAATTAGGACACCATTGTGGTCCATGATCAAGCATTTTTTGTTCTTTCCTCTTATTTTCAGCAGGTAAAATAAGTATGGATTACTGGTTTTCAAACTAAATATATTTCTTAATATGCAGTTGACATGGAATTCTCACCAGATGTTGGTAACAACCCATCCAATCCACACATGGAAAGAAAATATCAAACCATAAATGTGGATAAATTCAGTTTTGTAACACAGGGAAAAAGTATTGAACATATGAAGAAGGGAGGTGCAGGAAGGCATGGAAGCTCATGACACCAGCTAAAATCTATCAGTGATTAGAAAGCAATGCTTACACTTAGTGCAAATTAATACCAGCTGGTTCAGTCCCAACTGATGGCATATAAAAAGGTGTCTCATTACCAGGGTGTCACACAAGAAACACATCAGGATGGATAAAACCAAGCTCACTCGAGACTTTTGCACCCTTATTGCTGCAAAACACGCTGATGGCATTGGTTACAGCAAGAATTTCTACTGAAGGTTCCAATGAGCACTGCTGGAGCCATAATCAGGAAGTGGAAAGAAGATCATTTCGCCATGAACCAGCCGTTAATGGGGGCCAATCGCAAGATTTCAGGCAGAGGAGTGAAAAGATCAGATGACTAAAATGCACTCAGTCGCCATGGCTGAGTGCATTTGAAGAAAAGGGATGTTGAAGCATGTTTGCTGAACAACAATTAGA